GAGTAACTCGTGGAAGCAGATCTATCTGATACAATCTCTCCATGAAAGATCCATTTTCTATACCCCCGAACAAATCCAAAAATTACTAGATGCTCGTACACAACTTCACGAATGTGCCAATTAATGTTCACACAATTCTTACAAGGGTAAAGAATCATATTTTCTTGGCTTGCATTCAGAAAAGCTAAATTTAGAAAGTTTTCGACTCCATTTCGATATTCGACGCTTACCCTTGAGAAATCCATCCAACTCTTATCCATTTCGTATTTATGGAGTTTCAATTTCAAATGTTAATTGCTAATAATATAGATAAAATTAGAACCTAAACAGAAGCATTAAATTATCATATTTAGTGCATAATAATATTTGCATAGTATAAAACTAATCACTCGTAAATTATACAACTTTTAAATTGATAAAATTGTATGGGAGCAAATGTATCTCAGTTAATTTATAAAAATTATAACGAGAATTATATACAACTGCATAATATAGAACTAAATACTTGCACATGTTTCATCGAAATGTAGCATTTACATCTAAACAGACTCATGTTTCATTGTTACAGAGAGAGGCATTAAGAACTTAGAACGAAATATAAACCCTTCCCACAACCGTGTTAAGATCTATAAAACTTTTTACTTACATTTTGAGCAAACAAAGCTTATCATGCAACCAAAAATCTTTGTTAACAACAATGCAACAATAAATAATTAGACTTTCCAGTTTTCCATGAAACATTAGCTTATTAGCAGCAAAATCCGAAAAGAAGGATGTGTTATGTAGGAGGGTGGGTGAACAATCTACAATTTTGCATTCGTTAGTCATATTAAGTTTATACAATGGGCCCTTAATAAGCTGGAAATTAAAGATAATGAACATAGTAAAAACCCTAATACATATGGCAAAAGACTATGTATTTATTTGCATTAATTTCGATACATAAGCTGAAAATTAAAAACCACCGAGTTTTGCAGGAGGAAATTCAAGATACAAAAGCAAAATTCACTAATCACCAAGTTTACCACATCGGAAAAAAATAAAAGAAAGACTATGGTTTTTAGAAGGTCAAACGAAAGGTTAAACAAACTATAATAAGAACTAGGTCACAACAAAGATATTAAACCAAATAAAATTCAAAATTGGAATCACGTACTGAAAAGAGAAGGGTTAGAAGAAGCAGTTCCAACTTAAGCTTCAAGAAGCTCCAAACGACGTTTTAAATTGTTGAGCTTCTCATTCATTTAATAAACATCATATCCAAGTAGCTCGATATCTTCTCTTTACCCCAAGGACTCCCAAACTTAGAATAATGAAAAATAACACAAGCAATAATCAACACCCCAACCAACAGCAGAGACACAATGAAAAACTAAGACTGTTGGATAGCTGCCTATTGGTAGTACAAAAGCTCACTAAACAAAGTCGCAAATGGTGAAAGAACTTTAAACTTAGTACTTCATTTACAGTATTCTGTACGAAATGAGTGACATGATAACCTAACTTGTGGTAACAACGCAAAGCCCTTCCGTAGCAAACCTTTGGAACCCTTAACCTTGTGGTTCAAAAGACCCTACAAAAATTCAGTTTAGTGATCCAATCGAACTGAAGTCACGGTAGAGCTGAAATACCTCAAAGATTGCATTCAATTCAACAATCTCCAAATTTTAAGCAGAAACTGTCTAGCATCAATAATCACAATGTTATGTATGATTAAATGACACTTGATGAAAACGCATAAATTCATCTAAATCCTAAAACCCTGAATTATTCCCAACATAGTCATAATAAAAAGAAATCCAAATAATACCAGTTCAATAGTTTCAGATATGACCCAATTTTGCATAATTCAACAAGTGAATAACACACCTTATCTCGTATCAAGCCCCCAGAAGGCTCTAATTCCTAAAACTCAAATGATATTTTAATGAAACCCTAACCTAGGGGTTAAAAGTTTTAATTTTTTTATCAGAAAGAAATGCTAAAGTTATCAACATGTTGACTCAAACAAAACTCAGGAAAAAAAAACTTATCCATGATACACCAACGCTCTCTCCTAAAACAAGAAAAGAGGGCCACTTAGCAGCTTGTTTGAAAACTCTTTTTAATGTTGTTGGCAAGAAGAGAAACTCGATTGAAACTACATCACACGAATCGCTTGAGATTAGGTAATGATTGTACATACCTTGTTTCAAAGCTGAGATTGAGATGGTCGGAAATTTGTGACTAGAAATTGACGACAACAGCTTGATGCGCCGCGACGTTGATGATTGGCGGTGCAACAGTGGTCACCCGCGGCGTGATGGTGGCGAGTGGTGCACCGATTTGTCAAGTATGCACTGCTAATTCGAGGAAGAAGATTTGGGGATAAAACAAATAAGGGATTCGGGCTGCAGAATTGGGGATATCTAATAAATTAAAGGACAATTGCGGCGTTTATATTAAAAATGCCACCAAGGAACTATTCTATTACGGCGTTTATTACGAAAATGCCACTAAGGGATACACTATTGCGGCGTTTATGTAAAAAACGCCACTAAAGTAAAACTTTTTAGGGGCGTTTGGTAACAAACGCCACTAAATTCAAAGTATTTTACGACGTTTGCTTAAAACACGCCGTTATAAATGACAATATACAACTCTATTGCCACTATAATATTACTATTTAGCGGCATTTTTGGATACAAACGCCGCAAAATGTCAGATCTATAGCGGCGTTTCTGGATACAAACGCCTCTAATTACCTTTTATTTAGATAATATTAGTTGATTTTACATATTTCATTTCTAATGTACATCAACTAAATTGACTGATATATGTATAAACATTATATGGAGAGCTATTGTTGTTCCAGAGAAGAAGCTTTGAGGGAAGAAGAGTTTAATTGATTTTAGGGTTTGGGTAGGAGGAAAAGAGGACTGTATATTTAACATTTTACGGCGTTTATACAAAAAAAACGCCACTATTGATTACACTATTGTGGCGTTTAACAAACGCCACTATTGATTAAAACTATTACGGCGTTTGTGGTATAAACGCCGCTACTTTACCGATATATTGCGGCGGTTTTTAACAAACGCCGCAATAAACCACACTATTACGGCGTTTTTTGTAAAAACGCCACTAAAGTATCAATTTGTGGCGCTACGATTGTAAACGCTGCTATATGTTTAACTTTTGTGGCGTTTTCTATCCAAACGCCGCTAAAAACGCCGCTACATATCAGTTTTGCTGTAGTGCTTATTGAATAACGGTGGTAAAAGGGAAGGCTGATCTTTCTAGGACCCAAGTTTAAACAACTAATAAAAATCTGAATATGCGTTATTTTAAGGCGTCTTCCATGTAATAATTAGAAACCCCAAAGGAAAAGGGTTCATATTTGTTGGTTGATTTCATCAAAGTTTGGTGTTTCACCACACCCACTTTTGATTAGATTGCGTGTGGTGAATAGTCCCTCCACTAGGGGATGAAAAAAGAAGAAAGAAAACACATGGATGAAAGGGTCTTAAAGTGATTTCATTACCTTTTCATCTGAGTTTTAGCTTTTACTTTTACCTCTAACACTTTCGTTGAAGTTGCTGTGAGATCAGAATGGATATGTACAAGTCCCAGTCATGGGATTGTTACAGTTTGTCGTTTCCCGATAGGGGTGTGTGATTTTAGGGTTTGAAAATTCCAGTTTTTTCCTTTCCTGTGAGTCCATGGTTTTGTAATTGGAAAAGGAATTTCCAGAAATGGTAAGTTTCAGGTTGCTTGGCAGATGAGAGCAGAGGAGTGGTTAAGAGTCTCAGCACCCTTGTGTCTATGTTTCCGCATAGGACAATTGGAGGAATACTTATTGCTATTAAATTGCTGATAATGCCACTCCTCCTCCTTTAGGGTCAAGCCTTTGTTAATGGCCAAGGTCATTTTCCATTCAAACTAATGAACCCCCTCCCTTGCTCTCCTCTCATCCCTAACAGTGACTTCAATTCGAATCTTAAAATTTTCGAATAATTTCATTCATGTTTAAGCTTTTTTTTTTTAGAATTTATTGAATGGTAATATAAGATACCACGGAGGGCATTTCATAATTCGGAGGTCTCTTACGGAAGCTGCTCTCAACCTGGTGTTGGGGTAGCCTACTATCTTACCTCCCCCTTACCCCATACGTATGGGAAAAAAGGGACATCCATCTTTGACTATTAAAAAATAGTTCTTACATAACTGTATAAGTTCAAATCATTTTAGGTTTGTATCATTTTATTCCAAGCTTTAGATTTTATTTAGACCAAACCATTTAGTGTTTTTTTTTGCACAACAAATGTATTATTTATTAGAAAAAAGTCACATAGAGTGAATATATAATTATCATCAAAAGAATTCATGTAAGATCCACACTAAAATCAAAAACACCAACAATTGCTAATTAAAATCCTAGAACATCTCCCAAGTTGATACCAAGAAGAATAATACACCCAAGTCTATTTTTAAAATCATAGAAATAAAATCTAATTAAAGTTCGATTCAAATTATTATGAGAATATATATAATCGAAACATTTTGCTTCTAAGTTATTTTGAGTTAAGGTGGTCGTTCGATTCAAATTTATGAAATCTAATTATCTTAGATATGATCATTTGAAATTATTCATTTAAGTTAAAATATGTTCGAGTTCATATAAACTCACATTAAAATTTTTTATGATAAAATCAAATTTAGATTCAATATATTTTTTAAATTCGATCAAAGTTGATAAATCCAATTTCAAGTTGATGGTTAAGGAAATTACCGATCATTATATTCCAAATTGATGAATATTATTAACGTGTTAACATTTTATTTAAATAATATTTTTATATAGGGCATATGTTTGGGTCTTAATTGGGGATTGTAGCAAGCATTTCCTTGTTCATACACGCTTCAAAAAAATAAAGGAGCAAAGAGTTTTCACGAGCAAGGAATAGGTAAACTTGCAGTCATCTTTCTCTCTCTTCTCTTCTCTTTCTTTCTATCTGTATGTCTTCCCTTCCTGTTTTTAAGATGTACAAACTATAAACAAAGTAGTTATTTTCAGTGTTGCAGAAGCTTTTAGTTTCCATTTTATCATCCCATTTCTTTGTGTCTACCTGTCCCATATTTGAACTTCTTTATTAGCATCGCCTCTTCTTTCTTTCTCCTTCCTTTTTCCATTATTATTTCAAAATCTGCGAGTAGTTTTTAGAAGTGAATAAAAGAGAATAGTTCCCTGATTCCGTCTTTCCTTAACTAGAGCCAAAGGTTTTTAAGGCGGTGTTGGGTAATTATGGGACGAGGAAAGATACCCATCAAGCGGATCGAGAACCAGACGACTCGACAAGTCACCTTCTCCAAGCGCCGAGCCGGGCTTCTGAAGAAGACTCACGAGCTCTCTGTGCTCTGCGATGCTCAAATCGGCCTCATCATCTTCTCCAGCACCGGCAAGATGTGCCAATACTGCACTGAACCTTACAGGTTTTTTCTTTCATTTCATCTTTGATCTGTAAGGCATGTTCGCAGGATCACTCACTATATAAAAAGCTGACTTTTTTTAGGATCCCATGACTTGATCTGAGTTTTACATCTCTAATATGGCCTGAAAATGCATGAAAAAAAAGGTTATGATAATTTATCCACCTAGGGTTTCTTTTGTGTTGGCAGAATGGAGCACATCATAGAAAGGTACCAGAAGGTCACTGGAACTCGCATTCCTGAGCATGACAATCGAGTAAGATTCATTGATCAAGTATTTAAGACTCACCAATCCGAAACTTTTCTTGCCTTACCCTTTGATTTTACATGACATATATGTAGGAACAACTGTACAATGAATTGGCAATGTTGAGGAAAGAAACCCGTCGTCTTCAACTAAGCATGAGACGCTACACTGGTGAGGACACGAGCTGTATTCCATACGAAGAGCTTGATCAACTTGAACAAGAACTAGAGCGCTCGGTCAACAAGGTCCGAGAACGAAAGGTACTGTTTAAAAATATGGGTTTCCTTTACTTGATTCATGCAATCACTTTAGTAAATTTGGAGCTTATGTTCATTAATTCTTTGGCATGTAAAAATGGCAGAATGAGCTCTTGCAACAACAGCTGGATAACCTTCGAAGAAAGGTGAGGTTTCATTTCATTTCATACACTTTAAGGTATCAGAGGCTAAATTCATTAATCCTGGATTCATTGGCGTAGGAACGAATTCTCGAGGAAGAAAACAACAACATGTACCGATGGGTAAGTAAGAAATTCAATTGAACTTTTTGTGTTCATAATTGTGATGAAATAGAGGGAAAGAATTCTTATGGCCACACACAGATTCAAGAACACCGAGCGGCAATGGAGTACCAACAGGTAGGGATAGAAGGAAAGGCAGTGGAGCATCAGAAAATGCTTGATGAATTCCCCTTCTATGGAGGAGGAGAACCCAGTAGTGTGCTTCAGCTTGCAACTAATATTCCTCAACAATTCTCCTATCAGCTCCAGCTTGCTCAGCCCAACCTTCAAGACTCAAATCTCTAGTTTCTGCAGCCAATCATCACCGTTTAGCCATCATGTATCAAGCATCTGCATTCGGGGTCAAGTTTGATGTTCTTATAAAACCTACAAGAGACGCATTTGTGATATATCTGGTTTAGGGTTTGTGCTTTCTTTTCATGTTTGTCGTGTTAAACATTCAACTAAAGATTAAATACTCCTTCCCGTGTGTTTCTGAATGCTTTAGTTCGGATCATTCAACTAAAAGCTTGTTCTCATAATTTTCGCCATCTTTTAATATTTTAAATGCTTTAGATATAAATTACATCATATAGAGATCCACATAATCATTAGACACGAATCTAATTTGTATAACTATCATGCTAATAAAAGTGATTGCATCTGCTAGCTATAAGATATTTTTTAAAATCTTTATGATTTATATCGTGTTTTATATTTTATGACTTCATATATCTCACTGAAATAAAATTATACATTTGTGTCTCTCTTACATGTCACTATTATGTTTTTTTTTTTTTTTTTGCTCAGCAAATATAATTTCATTAATCGGAAAACGTTAAATCTAAATTGTAGATCTTGTTAAAAACCTCTTTATAGAGGAATAGAGTACACCACAGATCAGAAAGAAAAACAAAGCTACAACAACACTAAGTTAACAACAGGCTTGATAGAACAAACACACATTACACACAAGAAGCAAAAGCATTACACCTTCATGTGTTTACACTCATGGTCCAAAAGCTTCACTTTAAGGGTAATTTAATTCTATTTGAATGATAATTTTTTTATATTATTTATATTTATATTTATCTATAGATTTAAATTTAAAATCCTCATTTTCTTTCATTATTTCAAAACAATATTATCGACAACTTTTTTTTTCTTCTTTTCTTTTCTCATAAATATAACTCAATGAGATATCTTTATTATTTTATTTTAGGTATTTGAATATCTTTTTATGTTTATTATTAGTTATATCTTACACTCCTTAAGAGCATTTGTCAAATAATCTTAATTATTGAATTATTTTTCTTTTACGATATTTTTTATCTTTAGATCTAATTCAACTATCATGTTTTAAATATGATATATATTTGTTTGATTTAACAAAATATTATTATGGGACTTCAATCAAAATTTAGAGTATTTCAGTTGATATATATCACTTAGTTACTTTCATTAAATCAGTAAAATTATCTTATAGTTAACTTGTAATAATATGAATTATTTTTTTGAATATTTGATTCGCATCAATATATACTAGTATCTAAAAAATAATAATTTATGTAATTTCTTTAACTAGTTGATCATTACTAGGTAAATTATATGAATAGTCTTCTTTATTTTCGGTCTAACCAATTTTAGTCATCGGTTCAAAAGTTAATTGCGTTTGATTTAAGTCTTTCAACCGTTAATGTCCGTTAACCCATTAACGAAACTATTATATTATCGATCCGTCTTCTTCTTCATCTTCTTCAGGGCCTGCCTAATACATGTGCCTGATGGGCGATCGCACAGGGCATCAATGTTTAAGGGGCATCAGTTTTCTGGGGCAACGCGTTTCAATGGCGTTATTTTCTCTTCCCTCTCTCTCTCCTCTTCCTCCGCCATGGCTGCTTTATTCTGCCTCTCTGCAACTTCAAAGGCGAATTTGTTTCTCTCGTACGAGAATGGGAGCTTCTTCAACTTCGTCTAAGTCGACTTCGCAAGTGATTCGGCATGTTGCTTCTTCAAATCCGAAAGTCGTCGACTCGTCGTCACCAGAGAACGAGGCAAAAACACCAAGCTCATTGACGCTCTGGTTTATACTTTCACTTTCTTTTTTGATTTCCCCTTTTTAAATGCTTCTGATGTTTTTATTAAGTTAATAAGGTACTTAGAGTTTCGCTTTTATCACTTTTTATTTGGAACTTGAAAGAAAAATAGTTCATTTTTTACCATATATTGAAAATCGTTCACTGGATTCTGGATTTTGGAATAAAAATCCATAGGAATTCTTTCCTCGGTTATCCTAGTTTATATAAATAATGATATTAGAAGGGGAAAAAGTGATTTCTTGAAATAGGATTTTCCCTTCCAATATGAACGTTGATAAATTTTAATCGAGATTAAAAAAATTGAACCTTTTTCACAAACTATTTTTAATTCAAATGCACTATGTATATCTATCTAGGTGCACTCAATAATCTGAACTTTGTTTTGTGGATCCAATGACACTTATTTAGCTGTAGGAAGTTGAGATTTATGACCTTGAATGGTTGAAAAATTGGAAATTTCCTCTGAAACTATTGGTTGTTCTACTTCTTACTAATGCAATCATCTAGGTGCACGAGTTTGTATCATTTTTATTTTAGAGTATATATGGAAGTCTATAGTTGCTTCATAATCTGAGATATTTTTCCTACATTAGCTTGGTGGTGCTGTTGGAACACTATCCATCAACTTATATGTAAATTAATTAGTTGCACTTGATTTGCTGTTTATAGATGTAAGAATCATTTATAGTTAAGGCATAGCATATGGAGTAGTCTTGCTTTTCATTGAAATCAAAATCCTCAAATTTGATCAGTAATTGAAGATTGTTTACAACTGTCAATTGACAATGCTCATTCCTTTCAGGTACCTGTTGATCATGTTGATCAAATTGTCTTGGAGAAAGCCCTATCTGCACCGGTTGTTGCTGTTGCTTCACCTTCTGATGTTCGGTATGTAGTTGATCCTTTTCTCAGCAACTGTAGAATGTCTCAAAATGTTTTTCTATTTGTTAATATGTTATAGAGGATGTTCTTCTATTGAGCTTATCTTCAGCAAGCTTATTATCCGTCCTGTAGACTTGTTGCACCATATAATTGGAATTATCATGGTAGCTTGACCTTGCCCTGTTTCGGATTATAATTGTTTTAAAAATATTATTTATGTTTTGTCTATTATACGGTACAAGTATAGGGGCATAAAAATATTATCTCGCCCAGGGCATTAAAACTCATTGGACCGGCCTTGTTCTTCTTCTTTCACCATTAACCTGCAAATGAGGATAATGGACTGTATGGAAAAATTAAAATACCTTTAGTTTCTTTTCTAGGCTGTGACAATGAACTAAGCTTGTTAACCAGTAGCAATATATATATATATATATATATATATATATATATATATATATATTATCACCCACACATGCTTCATAAATGTATACAATGTCAAAAAACTGGCAGTAAACAGAGAAAGTATATAATAACAAAAGAAGTAACAAAAAATATCCACAAAACTTAAACAAAGATGAAAGTTATAAGAAGAAGTGATAATTACGTTGGATGCATCCCATACTCGTATAGTTTTATCAAACGAAGTTGTTGCCAACTGAGCTGAATTTGCCCTAAAACGAACATCTGTAATAACCAATTTATGTTCATTTGGAATAATCACTGTTTGCAAGGTATCCATATTACAAAAGTGCCATCTAATGAAAAAAATCAAGTCATTGTGTCATCTTTTTTTTTTTTTAGGGTGGGGGTGATTATTTTCTATGCATACCCCAGTAGTAGAATAATTAACCAGATAGGTATTTCTAGGGTCAACTTAATTTTTTTTTCGCAAAAACAACAAAGGTTCTATCAACCAACTCCTCTTGTTAATAACTTTCTCCTCTTGTTAGTAACTTTCCATTAGGGTAAACTTTCTAAAATACATTTAATTTTTTTAACTTTAGTTTCTTTGCTTTTAACTCCATGTTTTCAATCTGTTGATCTAAACTTGATTCTTATACTCTATTTTCTGTTGGAATTAAACGTAATCAAGGATTAATATAGTAAAAAATGATTAAAAAAGTAAGAAGAAGTTGGTGAAGATGGAGAGTTTAGTCTCGCTGTTCGTGGATAACCTACCACCGAAGATATATTAGAAGGGCTTATGGCAGATTGTTGGTTGACAAGGCAAACTTCGAAAGGTTTATATTGCAAACAATAGAAGTAGATGGGGTACAAAATTCGATTTTGTACGAATGGTTGATAGGATAGTGGTAGGAAGAATAATGGATAGATTAAATGGCACAAAGGTCCTCAATAATAGAACTTCGGTGGAGTTTGCTAAAACTAGTAATGATTCCTCGGATAAGAAAGCTCGGAAGTGGAATCAGGTGTGGAGGTCAAAGAAAGAAAAAACAACATTACATAACGAAGAGCAGGAGAAAATCAGTGTACATAAATCTGAGAAAAGAAAGAGTATTATTGGTCATGTGGAAGATGCAAATTTATGAGTGAGGAGATGTTTAATAGGTGCAATGGCTACAGTCTGTAGTGTAAGCAGTGTTGAAAGAAGATTAATAGAATGGGGGCTAGGGGAGATCAAGGTACAAAAACTTAGAGGAAAGTCATTTCTTCTTACAATAGATGATAAGGACTTATTCTTATTGTTGAAGGATCTCCGATGGTCCTACTTAAAGGAAATCTTCTGTGAAGTTAAACTATGGTCTGAAAAGGCGAATGTTATAGAAACGTCGACTTGTTTGGAGTTCCTCTTCACCGTTGGAATGATACAATGTTGAAAAGAATGGCTGAACTGTGGGGTCATCTTGAAGCCTTCGGTGAGAATATTAATCACGTGCTAGATTGAGAAAGGTTACACTGTTGGTATCGACTAAATTGAGTTCCTAGATTGAGGAAGTAGACATTGTAGTTGGCAATGTAAAGCATGTAGTAAGAGTGGTAGAGTTAGGTTTTAATGATAACTCAGCAACGATTGACAACCTAGATTTGTTGCAGAGAGAGGGTATAGTAAGGAATTCGTTAAGGAGTGCATCTAAGAAAGCTTCATCAGAAGTTTCACCGGATAAGACCCCAATGAAATCGCCGAGTGAGAGTAACGGTGACAAGGAGTTATTGTTTCAAAAGTCTGATTCATTAAATGGTGTGTGTCTTGGGAATATATAACACCCCAAATTTAAATCATTGGGCCGAGTTGGGCTTAATTAATTTGAAATTGGATCCAATTAGCCATAAACAGAGGGTTTGAAATAGTGGAAAGAAAGAATGATCCAAAAATATAATTTTCCCATTTTTAAAAAATGAGGGCTTTTTATCTCCTCATCTTTTTCCCTTCATTTCTTCATCTCTTCTCATTTTCCCTTTCTTTCTTCCTCTACAAGTTGCATAGCTCAAGGTAAGTTCTTGAACCTCTTTCATGTTTCAAATTCGTCTATATTAAGCTTTGGGTTTCTTATTTTGCAAG